GATTTCCTGAACTTTCAAGCGGGGATTCGTTCTCGTAAGGTCCTATCGGAGACCTCGTGCCGAGGCCTGTGCGGAAGAAGCATCAAACACATTGTAAGCAATTTGAAGCTCATAAACGAAAACTTCCAAGACTGAAATTTTGAGACCCGCACAATTCCGGGAGGTTCCGTCCTTTCCGTTCCGTTATTTCAACAATCTGTCGCTTTTTTTCTCCAGTAAGCAATGGTTACAACCGGATTTTTACAAACAGAAATCACCAACCTGCCCTATTCTTTCGTTTGAACCGACTCTGTCGTAATCAGATACCGTAACATGAAGGTGAACCCTCTTGAAACAAAAATACTGTTGGAAAGCATGTACTTTCGCAAAATCTCTTAAACTCACCTGCATCTTTTCCGGTGTCACATCGAAACTGAAAGACTCGTTGTAGTAAGGGTTCAACGTCTTCATTTTTATTGTCGTCTTCTTCTTCTCGAGTCGTTTGTTTTGCAACATAAGGTATATTTTGACGTATGGATCTAGAAAGAAGAATAATTATGTTTTGCTTAGATATTAGCGGAATTTGTACAAAATCTTAACCTTAAACGCCAGTCATAGTCTACTCAGTAGCCTCCAACACTTTTTCAGCTTTTAAAATATCTCTGGACGCTAATAGTTCTTTAATAGGTGGATTCGTTCCTTCAAATCTAAGTGCAAACCAGCTCTTTATTACAAAGAACTGAGATTGAAAGAGCTGTTAGTCACATTGTGGCAATTTTTGGAACTGGTTCTTATAATTCTATAACAGTTTGCATTAAACTTTACTCACTGCTACTTCTAACTTCGAACAACTCTGTCCAAAGACTCTAGCTTCATTTCAACAAATCAGTGCTTCTTACCTGATAGACCTAATACATCCATTTTCTTCAGATTTTTACATTCCATCACAACAACAGAGAGTTTATTCTTATTTGGCACGTAACGCAGAGCCAAGCAAACCTCACCCAGCCGATTCTCCTAGAAAACAAGGATAGCTTTCCCTAGTGCGCATTTATAAGAAGAAACTGTCATACCGGTGGGCTTTCAATGTTTACTGTCTTTTCGATTGTAGCGGCTAAGTCGATCTTTCCAAGAGGAATTGAGATTTGACCTATCTAGAAGAAATCGTTTAAAACTTCTGTCAAAAGTCCTAATTTTTATTTCTTCCAAAGTTCTATGTTCTTTCTTTCTCCAATCCTTCTTTGAACCTCAGAACCTCCAACGAGCATCCTCCTCTCTTTATTATTACTATTAATTTTGAAACTCGTTAGTAATATCATGGTAATTTGAAAATTTGCCTTTGATGTCTTTCCTCCTCTACTTCATCGAGCGCGATCAGAAGAATCATCTAAGCAAACAATGCAAAGGTTTTCTCAGGCTGTATAAGGCGAGCTGTGGACTCTGCATATCCGACTTAGAAGCGCACTGCTTTCAAAATTAGGCTAAAAGTGAAATTGTTACTAGTAAGTGCTCTGATTTGACAGCTAAAGTCTTACTCTGTCTCATTCTACGGTTTTTGTAGCTTCAAGCAGTAAGAAAAACTATGACAAACAGTTCTTTTGCGCTCAAGGGTTGCTCAAATTCCGTTTAAAATGTATAAAGGCGTAGTTGTTTTTTATAATGCAAATAACCAAACCTTCTTTCTATGACACGACATTGTGAACCTGCTGCTAATGAGAATTTGTATCCTAGGAAACTTTAAGCTTCTCGTT